GTGGAGTCCAACAAAGTCGCCTTTGCTATCTCGTACCTTACGGGGAATGCTAGCGTATGGGCTGCTCCATTTGTCAACAGGCTTATCGGTGACAACAAGGAATCTCTCACCTTCAAGAGTTTCTTGGATGCTTTCAAGGGTACCTATTTTGACCCTCACCAAGTAAGCAAGGCCGAGAATGTGATTCGTGCCTTATGGCAAACCAAGTAGGTTTTGGAGTACTCGACTCGTTTTAATCAATTAGCCAGCATTGTCAGCTGGGAAGACTCTACCCTTATGAGTCATTTCGAGGGTCATCTCAAGCCTGAGGTTACTGTTCCGTTGATTTGAGACACCTCCTCTACCTTGGAGCAATTAATTAGAGCGGCGATAGAAGTAGATCACTTATTACATCCGAATCACGACAGAATCTCTTTATTTCATGATGGATGAGACGATAAAGATGCTGTGGTCCAGTTGGGAGGTGATACAAGTAGTGGTCAACGGGTGGTTGCAGATGATGCTATGGATTTATCAGCCGTCAAATTCAACTGTTCTTACAAAGAATATCAACATCAAAAAGCTAATAATTTCTGTTTTTATTGTGGCAAACCAAATCATTCAGTCTCCCGTTGTACTCAAGCTAGGGCTGATAGAGAGAAGAAAGGGGGTTTTAGAAGTCAGATTTCAGACATGTTTGTGGGAGTTAGTGGTAGTGGAAGTAGTTTTAGTGAAAGTGTGGAGTCAAAAAATGGCCGCGCTCAGGAGTGATTGTTACGCCACCCTTGAGCAGTTGTAGTGGTTTTTGTGTTGGTATAGGTGCAAGTAGAACGTTGAGCAATTCAGATCCTAGAATTTCTAAGTGCATCACCATCCGCGAACCAACTAAAGCCGTAACCCAAAGAGCCTTTTGCCTGCTTGACTGTGGTTCTACCCACAATGTTGTGAAATTGAAATTTGCTGACAAGAAGTTGAGGATGCAAGATTTGGAGAATTGGAGAGAAGTTACTGCCTTTGACGGAAGAAGGAGCTTTGTGAAATTTAAAGTGGAGTTATCAGTTGATGAAGACAAAGAGATTGAAGAATTTCAAGTTGCTGAATTGAAAGTCCAGTACAACATAATACTGGGTATGCCTTGGTTTAGGCGGTACGGTCATTCAATTGACTGGGTCAACAGCAAGATCAATTACATCGCCTCTGTTCCGCATCAGGTCCCTGCCATTGGGGGTAATGTGGACAAAACTAGGAAACTTGAGGAGGGGGCTAATTGTGAAACGGTTGTTACGCCCCTGCGATGTGAGTATGTCTGCAATTCTCAATGTGTTATGAGAACAATTACTGGCAAGGATTCTCTTCTACAACAGGAGAATCATCCAGAAACGATTGACAAGCCCATCAAGATAGCTAGTGAGAAAGAAGAATCACTCGATGTGCCCATGGCCTGCCAGTTAGGAAAGCTTGGAGGCCAAGTTAGCAATAGTGATTTGGGGGTAGTGGCTTTATGCCCTTATGTTAATTCAGAACCCCTGCCTAGTGAGTCGGATTTTCTCTTTGTCATAGACGATTATGAGGATGTCCTAGCTAGCAAGCTTTTTCTGCAGGACAATGACAAGACGGACTCGAGTGAAACAGTTGAAATTGATGCTCTGAAGACTTCTTGGAGCAAGTCCGCCCAATTAGCAGCCTCGGACCCGAAGTTATCAGTGGAAAAGAGTGCATCTGAATTGGTTCCACAGGAATACCACAATTTCCTTCCTGTGTTTGAGAAAAAGACCTCTCAATGTCTTCCACCCCGTCAAAAATACAACTTTTGAATTGATCTAGTAGACCGGTCTACGCCGTATGCTGGTCAAATTATTCCTCTTTTGCCAGCAGAGAACAAAGCTTTGGACACGATGATCAATGAGGGTCTTAAGGCGGGAACAATTCGATGCTGTACTTCTCCTTGGGGTGCACCGGTTTTATTCACAGGCAAGAAGGACGGCAAATTACGACCTTGCTTTGATTACCAACGCCTGAATTCAATGACAGTCAAAGTCAAGTATCCCCTCCCACTCACCATGGAGTTGGTTGATAGCTTGCTGGATGCAGAAGAATTCACTTCCCTCAATATGAGGAACAGTTACATAACAACTTACGTGTGGCCAAAGAAGATGAAGCTAAACTAGCTTTCATATGCTGTGCCGGTCAGTTTGAACCTTTAGTCATGCCATTTGGACCTACTGGGGCTCCTGGCTATTTTCAATTCTTCATCCAGGATATATTCAAGGATATGATTGGTAAAGATGTGACGGCTTTCCTTGACAACATTATGATTTACACAAAGAAAGGTCAAGTTCACAAAGATGCAGTTAAACACGTTCTTCAAGTGTGCAAAGATCAAACATTATGCTTGAAACCGGAGAAGTGCAAGTTCTCTCAATCTGAAATCAAATACCTGGGGCTAGTGATTTCTAAGAACAGAGTCAGGATGGACCTGAAGAAGGGGGCTGCAGTGGCTGATTGGCCTGCACCAAAGAACGTATCGGAATTCTTGAGTTTTGTTGGCTTTGCAAATTTTTATAGACGCTTCATTAATAATTTTGCAAAGGTAGCCCGTCCGCTACACAAATTAACGAAGAAAGACACAAAGCAGCATGATCATGTCTTTGTATACCTTCATGTTGTAAAGCGGAAATCAAAGACTTTGACGAAACAGAGGATTGAGATAACAAGCTACTGATGGATGAGTTCCAGTCAGTAGGTAAAGAAGAACTAATAGCCGCACAGACTATGTCATTGGTATCTTGCCCAGATTTCAAAACTAATTGTTGAAGTTGTTCACCTAGACGCTCGACATTAGCTAGATGAGTATCTATGTCATTGTCGATCATTTGGCAAGATATTAGACGATGAATGACTAATAACTTTGAACCCATTGATGTATCTGCATGTGAGTCAGATAGGGCTTTCCACATAGTCGCTGCATTACCCATGTGAGGGCGCATAAAACCATAGTTGGCAGGGTGAGCATAACGTAACAAAACGGAGCAAATAGCATGATTTTGCTGGATCCATTGAAAATTAGGTTGAGATGGATTAAGGATGTGAGCCAAACCAGCGCCGATAATTGAACCAGACATGGCTAGTTCCCAATTACCATAGTTGGAATCATCGCCAGGAGGAGCTAGCACAGATAAACCCACTACCGCCGAGGTTGGTAGTGCCAAGGGTCCCCATTTGGATCCAACACAGAAGGGATCCTTGATGTTCGTAGGCAGAGTGGCGGCCTTTCCTTTTGAAAGCGGATCAGAAGAAGATGCCATGCGAGAAAGAGTTTTGAAGAAAGGAATCAAATCAAAAAAAAATTAGCCAAGGAATTGTTGTATATCAGCTAAGAAGCAGATGTTATATGGTCATTCCTTTAGGATTGGTGGAGTGTCACTTTGCTGGAATTTGGGTGCATCAAGAGAGGAGATGAAGAAATGCGGGCAATGGGTGTCTGATGCTTATAAATTCTACCTTATGAAGTTTGATGACAAGGAGTTGAAGGAATTGATAAAGCTACTGAATGATTTAAAATTCTGAGTTGGTGAATTGGGAAAGGAATTAGGTTTTGAAATGAATATTGTACTCACAATTGATTTGTGTTAGAGTTCAATTGGTATATTTGAACCTTAACATGTGTGAGTGGTAGAAGATCTCTTCCGAAAGATCTACATTGGTACTTGAGAAACCATGTTACACACGATGTATGAGTGGTAGAAAATCTCTTCCAAGAAATCTACACATTGAGAAACCTTGGGGGTTTTGGCGTGTAAGCCTTAAATTTAGGTAGCAATAAGTGCAGGTCAACAACCAGATAGGAGACTGCATAGTGCTGACAGCTCATTAATAAACACCAGAACAGGTTTAATTGTAGTAGGTCCGCTGTTTAGGTGGACCTGAAGGAGGGTTGAACAGCACTTGTGTGATTCTTAACACTCAGATGTGGTGAGTTGTGGCGAGTTTCAACTTTTGAGGCTCATGGCTTGAAGTCCATCCTCCCATGAGTGATTGGGTCAAGAAGTCTTATCTTCTCAGGGCTGTTCTCGCCCAAAGGGTAGGGAATGAGGGTTGGCAGATACCAACCCTCCTACACTTCCTTACCTTTGGGACCACCCCCAAACCACAACCACGTAGGATGCAAACATGATGTAGGCCCCCCTCTTCTATGTGTACATAGTAGCAAAGTTCTTGGAAGTTAAGAACATGGATTTGTTACACTCCTACATGCACCATGTAAGGTCACTCTAGTGCACCTTCCCGTAACACACCTAATGAGAAATGGATAATGAGATAGCTGTAGAATGTATCTATCCCTACTTGGATCTATCCTTAATCCTACCAGCTACTCTGGGTTATCAATAAGATTTCATTTTCTGCCTTCTCTTGTTGTATCCCTGAAAACCATATTCCACTTGTTTAATCAAACACCAACCACAAGTACGTTGAAGTCAGCTTGTGATCAAGTGAGCAGAGCTTTAAAACAGATGGTTTGTTTATTTTGCAAACATACATATACACAATGCAAAAAGTAGATGAAAAAGGAAGAAACATATCAATAAGTGAAAACAGAACTAACCTATGAGTCATGCACAGATTCACAAGTACGTCAAAGTCAGCTTGTGATCAAGTGAGTAGAGCTTTGAAACAGCTTTGAAACAGATGGTGTTCAAAGCTTGGTGCAGACTCATACACAGCTTTATAGTAAAGCTGATGAGAGACAAGGAATAAGAAACGCGCACAGAGATAATCAAATAAAGCAGAACAAATCAAATGACATCACACAGGATGATCATAACAAACAGTAACAAATAACAAATATCAAAAAACATAACCATAACTCTCATGATGTGATATTTGATAATCTCCAAACTTCGATAAAATTTGAAACTATGACCATAAACGTGAACCACCTAGTATCTAGAGCCAAAGACCCATTCACACACCGGTGCATTCACGTACTCCATGAATCAATACTGAAGTTGATAGGTTCCTTGTCAAGGTAAACCTCGTTTTCTTCTCCCGGGCTCAATCTCGTCAGTAGTTTCAGGAGTTTCTCCATCACATAGAGCTTGATTTGCAGCTGGTAATTTTATTGAACTCAATGAAGTGGGATTCATGACAATCACCCCTGCAAATCCTGCACCTAAATGCCATCCAATATGACAATGTAAGATCCAAACACCTGTCAAAGGTTTCGGTCAGATTATCAGATAGGCCAATAATTTTTGAGTATGACAAACACCAATGCATAAAAAGAGATACTACATACCTGGATTGTCAGCAACTACTCTCACTAGAATCAGGCATATGGTATTGAAAGACATCCAATTTGTTAGAGATTTATTAGGCACGTATATGGACCACACAGTGCTAGTACTACCACTCACAAACTCTGTACGTTCCACCTGGGACGACTTGAGTCTATCATGAGGAGTGATGAGGAAAGATGTCATATATAAGCGACCTAACGGGTTTCTATGCTCAGAATCCTCAAAACTCACGTCTCTTCTCAATGGATTGGTGGTATTATAGGTCAAGGTAGCAGCGACTGTGTCATTGAGTTCACCAGTTCCGGTGGCTACGGTTTTGGCCTACGTGAAGTGTATTGATTCAACAAGGGAAGACTAGAGCACAAAGGTTGAAGTATACACGTACATCAACCCCATCTACACCCCAAAAAAACGTTAGCATATACAAAACCTATCACATTGTAGGATGATTGAGACTCACGAAGATGGTATGGATGGTTAATTGCAGCATCGAGATTGTTGATAACAATGTCATAACATCCATTGGTTTCCATTGTAAATGCAGCTACTTCTGAGGTATTAAGAAATCCTCGTCCTCCTGAAATCATTTCACTTAACAAAGGTTGATAGACATAAGCTTGAAAATGACAAAATGCAATCAACACACATTAGTACCCAAGAAACAAGGAAGAAAGTGGAAATTGGGTTTCAAATGCTCACTTAACCAGGTTGTATCATTGACGAAAAAACGACCTAAACTGACAGTAGTTGAGTTTTCAGTTGAAGTCACAAATCCAAAACTTGACTCATAGAATACCTAACAAAACCCAATCCACTGGATCAACTTTGTGTGGATGAACTGATATTGTAAATCATACTGATAAATGTAACTTACGCGTCCCAAAACATTTGTGCATGCGTCTTCTGGGACTAATGGTACTAAAGTGTCAGGATCTAGGTCAAGACAATCTCCAGAAACACTATCGGACCAATCAGTGGAAGTTGGAGTGGTCACTGTTGTATTATAAGCAGTGGCTGCAGCATCGACTACTCTGATGATCGCTCGAGCGGTTGCTGCCTGTCCATCCATTCCAGGTGCAACTTGAAAACACAGGGAAAATAAATCACAGGCAGTTAAGAAAAAGAAAGTTATTTTCGAAGAAAGGGATCGTACTCACGCCAAGCGACTGAGATTTCAGAAAAATAAAATTCAAAACGCAATCTTCAGAAGGTTCCCATAAAGACTTTATCAGGATAATGAGAAATCTTACAGCAATTGGTGTCCATGGCTGCTCTAAGATAGAAAGTACTTCCAACGGTATCATCGCTTAAATCAAGAATTGCACTGTACCTCTCTCCATTATCTAAACACATCATAGAAACGCCAAAGGTCAAACTTCAAAGTACTGCTTACAATCAAATCATGCGACTTACGAAAAGGAACCCGATGAACCGCTGTTGGTCCGGCCACTCCAGTTGCATCTGCCTCTGTCACATTGAGTGTATGCTGATCAACAGATACTCGAAAAAGAGCATGACTTCCACCTTCTATGAGGCAAAGTCTAGTTTTCCGACCAGCATGAAGATCAAATGTCAAATACTTTGTTGGGGTTGTACAAGTTGACCCAGGATTGGCATTCGTGCAATCGAAATATCCGATACCATTGATCAAAGCCGAATTCTATTCGCTCAAGTAGATCACAATCAGGTCTCCGTACTTTGAAAAAACAGGGATAGAGAGCTGCATATGGCTTACAGGAGATCTTGAAGCGGTTAAGATCAGAAAAAAATTGTAAGCTTCATTTTCGTAAACCTCAACCGGGAATTCTGATGCTTACGGTGCTGCAACTGAACCCAGGTAACCTTCGGGTGAAAGTTGCCCATCCAAAATTAGGGCGCTCAAGCTATTTGGAAAAACAATCCCAGAGGAAAATACTATTGATCAAGATATTTCGCGTGAAGATGAGATCTGAAGATCTTACTTATGATACCAATCGCTGTGGAAGGAAGGAATGTAATTATTATCAGGTATCAAGCAAATCGTTAGGTTTCGTAGAATTGTAAGAGCTTACTTGATGAACAGTACCACATCTTGATCATAGTCAACTCCTCTTACTAACGGATCATTCACGCTATGAACAATGAGCGGCCCGGCCTACGGAGTTCAAGAAAGATGAGCAAGGCTACGCATATTCGATTGTAAGCACAATCTATTCTTACCACGCCGTCCGCGGCGTAGTTCTGAAAGGCAAAACACCATATTAGGACAACATGTAATATAAGATAAAAATTGTCATCATACCTGAGAGTGCGCATGATACCCTTTCAAAGATGCCGGAAAGTCAATGTTAATCCATACTGCAATTGAATCCACGAGCTTCCACTCACAGAATGTGCCATATTGTCCGCTGATGGTAAATGTATACGTAAAAGTGCTACCAGCTGGAATTGGGCACTGGGTCACACCTGTAACACCATCCATCCATGCCGTGCCTTTTTGGTAAAGCTATGATTGAACCGCTTTGTCAGAAAAATATCACATTCATATCTCAAAAGGGAATTTACTTACGCCGTGCCAATGGATAGAAACAGAGCCACTCAAGGTATTAGTTACTACGATATTAATTGTATCCCTTTGACGGAAGACAAAACAGTATGTTGGGACTCGGAGCTGCCAGACAATTCAAACGGACGAAAAACAAACAACTGCTCACCCTTCCTGCAACGCCAAGAGGGTGATAGTTTTAGATATTCTGTCAGCTCTCAGCTCAAAAACATTGCGACCTGATGAGGAATATAGCCTAAGTTGAAACACCCACATTGGCTTCTATTAAAGGCCCAGGGAACTGAGAATTTATTACAAGCATATTTCTAAATGATATCATCAAATCTTCCAGTTCCTTTGCACGCTCAACTACAACATTCAAATCAACCTCACCTGGTGTATCCATCTGGAGCCGCCGTTTCATTACTTTCAATCGCAGTCTCAGTAAGACACTCACTTACAATGTGGAACAAAATGAATTATATATTTTTGTACTGGACTTACCTCAGAGTCCACCTGTAGTTCCTGGTTTGAACAGTCGAGGTAATGTCGAAGTCTGCCGAGAGATACAGCTCTGAAGAGTTGACCGTAACAGCAGCATAGCAAGATGAGAAGAGGCTGAAGAGTAATGAAGACACTACAATAATTCTTTTGTATAAACTATAGCCTGACATTGTCATGTTTTAAGTGTCACAAATAGAAACTAAAAGGCTTTAGTTTCCTTCTACCACTTATTACACAGTAAATCTAAGGTGTGTGGTCTTTTGGAAGAAGACTAGTTCAAGGGGATGATGCCATACATATAGCTTTGTGAACAACTCAGGCTGGTAACTCACTGCACGGCTTCTTGACCGTGTAGGTCCCAAAGACCGACACATATTGGCTTGCGCAAATTACGCCAAGTACAGATCGAGCGTAATCAATCTGAACAATTTTTAATTGTAGCTCGGACTTGGAGTAACTCGGTGATCTGAGCCCGCAGGTATGAGGGACACACTGATCCCCGAGGCCTCGTGGATGAGGTACTGTCCACGATCCCTGTGGTGCCGGATCCAATCTCAAGCCGCGCGTCAACGCATCCAGAGTAAATGAATGCGAAGATGCTATTGACTACCTCGAAAGAAATACACGATACTCTACATGGGTTCAAAAGTGGGAACATAAAAAAATCAGTGAAGAGTGAAGAATGGCGGGACGCACTTTGATGCTGGGGCTGATAAGTCGCGAGAATAAGAAAAGAAACGAGTGACTTTGCAAAACTGAGGGTAAATGAGGGGAGTGTGCGAAGCCTCAAAAGCTATGAAAAGAACATCCTGAAAGCAAGAACAAATTGAAAGACGGCCTAACGAGTGTACACGAAGATGCCGCACCCGGATTGGGCAATACATGGGCAAATCAGCAGTGTTGCCGCTTTGACTTCACCCTCTTGGCGATGCAAAGCCCACAAAATTGGTGTGCCAAGCTGAGAACATCAGTCCTGAAAGCTTCATGCACCCTCCCACCATTCTCATCGGAGTGGAGGGTGTGAATCATAGCATGATGATGGCTGGTGGATTCATGAACCAAGTAGCGGAATTTGCAAAAGATAGTGTTGCTGGCATCCTCGTGCTGCTGAAAAAGGTGTTTGACCACATCCAAATCATGATGACCGGCTGGACCAATGCCAAAGCCGGGTCAAAGCACTTGTGGCTGACCATAGCTTCCAATGGATGTCAGGAGTGATGGCCTGAGTGCAAAGATGTAGGTGGAGCTCTCAGTAATTCATGAATCAAGCAATATGCCGTAAGTAAGTATTATGCTTGTGAGTGGATTAAGGGTTTGAACAGACGATGAAAAACCCAGTGAAGACTCATAGATGGCTTTATAAAAAAGAAACCACAGCTAAGAGTTGAACAGGCCGCATCTTAGAATCGAGAAGCTATTAAAGTATTGGTTGCTTGTTTGCTTCTCTTAAACTAGTAACCATACCACTTATCCGCATTGAGTGTTGTTTGTTTATTTCTCTTTGTTCTTTTGTTCCTTTTTTGCATGCCTTGAAACACCATATCAGCCATCCCCAAAGCAGTGTGTGAGAGTCACAATCATGCTAGGATTACACATACCTATGTCTAGAAAAGAGGACTATAGAAGAAGTTGTTCAGTGCCTTCTCAGTAGTTTCCTTACTCAACATCTTATCATCTTTTATTTGCTACTTTCCACCAGGTGATTTCTCTTTTCCATCACTCATATGTGATATCAGCCATAGTGACTATCTTAATCACTAATTTGTGAATTCCTACCAAGTGCTTTCTCTTTTCCATCACTGATATGTGATATCAGCCACAGCTTGTATCTTAATCACTGATTTGTGATTCCTACCAGTCACCTGGCTTTCCCTATGTCATTAGGAGCACCTTAGCAACATAGCAAAAACAGAAAACAACACATGTAGTCCATATTAATGAACGTCTCAAAATACTAAGGGCACATTCACTTATGATCTTTTTGGGCAGAGATTGCATTCTGGGAATGGGTTTGTCTTGGATCTTGCGAGGAGCAGTGTTGGCTACCAAAGTGGACCTGGGCCCAATATTTATTTTCCCCCATGAACGCTAGGACAACTAAACAAAGAAATTTGTAGAAAAAACCAAGACATGTGGGAGGTTTAACTATTTCTACGTTTTGTGTAAGGGAGCAGGAGGGCGGGTGTTTAAAAAGAGAGTGGGATGTGTCTCGCGGAGGTTCCTAATGCACCCTGTTTTGGGGCTTTGCTACAATCAGGTTTGTAACTACGGGGACAGCACCGGCCGGAGGCTGGTGCATCTGCTACTGGCATGAGAGGGCACCCCTGGGGAGGCCCCGAGGTCCAATACAAGATATAGACAACTAACAGCAAGAAAAACAAAGAACAGATAGCAGAAATTGGGAAACAATAGCAGAGATTTGAGCGGGGGAACAGATGATGGGTACTCATCTGGGCTGAGAAAAACCCGATTATAACTTATCATACTCCCTTTATTGTGACAGAAAGAAGAAAGAAAAAACTCTTTTTTTTAAAGAAAAGAAAAGAAATCAGACTAAGTAAAGAAAGTAAATTCATTAAAGGAAAGAACACTGCCTATGAATCTGGGGACATTGTGGTGACAAAGAGAAAAAATATATGTAAGACCAGAGAACTATTTTTTTTTGCCCTTGATATTTGCAGCCCACACGAAATCCATGTAGGCGCTGCCAAAACAGCGCCTACATGAAGGTTTCCCACGAAAAAGCGCCTACATTCACTACGCCAAATTGCAAATTTACCGTGGAGTTTAGAAAATTGAGTAGACATAGAAAATTATAGAGAAGCTGGCAAGGGTCAGAAAAATATGAAAAAATAATGGGAGGGCCCTTTGATGCATTCTGATTGTCTGGCATATGCCTACATATGTTGATACCAACACCCTTATAATTTAATACCAACACCCTTATAATTTGATTCCAACACCCTTATGATTCAATTCCAACACCCTTATAATTAATTATAAGACCCTTATAATTTTATAATCAAATGCGCACTCTTACATTTAATACCCTTATCATTTAATACCAACACCCTTATAATTAATCTCACCACACTTATAATTTGATACCAACACCCTTATATATTAATACCAGCACCCTTATAGATTTGTATTCACACGTGTATAAGACCCTTATAACTAACTTAAGTGCCTACATGGAAGAAACAATGTAGGCGCTCAAAAAAAGCGCCTACATTTTATTTTTAGAATGTAGGCGCTTGAAAATAGCGCCTACATCTTATTTTTAGAATGTAGGCGTACACAAATGACGCCTACATTGGTTTTTCAGCCTGTAGGCATCATTTGAAAAAGGAAAAAGCGCCTACATCATAAATGTAGGCGCTTGTTGGCGGAAAACAACCGTGTAGGCGTAATTTGGACAGCGCCTACATGGATTTCATGTGGGCTGCAAATAGCAATGGCCTTTTTTTTTCAGAAAGAAGCTTCCGGTTTTTGGAGCTGGTTAACACAAAATCTATACAAGCCTTCACGGCTCTTTTTTTTCTTCAAAAAGAGGTTTGCGGGTGGGTGGGGATTTGACAAAAGCAACCTGAGTGATGTCAGCCCTGGGTACATATGTACGGAATGCGAGAGGTGTCAAGGTGACAATGCAAAAATCAAAAAACGAAAATCAAAATTCCCGGGTGCGAAATTCAAAAATCAAAGACAAAACTCCAGAAAATACTCAAATACAGGGATAAAACCCCTGTACTGGAGTAAAAGTCATGGCAGAAACCCCTTTCAGACAAGGTTCCGGCCCAAATTTCAGTAGATTTACAACTTGAAACTCAACATTTGTCACCCCATTGTCGCATTGACACAAAAAGTACCAGGAAAGCCACAAAAGAGGAAATCAAAATTCAAAAATCAAAAAAACAAAAGTCAAAAATCAAAAAAACAAAAGTCGAAAATCAAAAAACAAATGTCGATAATCAAAAAACAACAATTAACATACCACAAACAAAGACCCCAAAGATGAAAACTTCACATTAGATGATGAAAATTGTACAAACCACCTCTCTACCTCTCTACCTCTCTACCAATCACACAACCCATACACCACACACCATCAGCGATCATCTTATATTGGCCAGTCATTCATCCACATTCATCCATCTTTTGTCATAGTCTCCACCCATCCACCTTGCTCAACAAAACCTACACTACACTGAACTTCTTTGATTGTCGTCACTCTTCTTCATCCTTCTTTGATTGTCTTCACCCTTCTTCAATCTTCTTGGATCGGCTTGAATCCTCTGTAATCTTCTTTTATCAACTTCAATCTTCTTTATCTTCTTCAATCGGCTTCCATCTTCTTCACCCTTCTTTGATTGGCTTCACCCTACTTCAATCTTCTTGGATCGGCTTCAATCTTCTGTAATCTTCTTTTATAAGCTTCAATCTTCTTCAATTGGCTTCCATCTTCTTTAGTATTCGTCAATCTTCTTTAGTATTCGTCAATCGGCTTCAATCTTCTGTAATCTTCTTTGATACCTTCAATCTTCTTTAGTATTCTTCAATCGGCTTCAATCATCGTTGATATCCCTCGATCTCCTTCGATCTGCTTTAGTATTCTTCAATTGGCTTCAATCTTCTTTTCAACATTTGTGTGAGTCAAATGAATCAATACACTTTCTTCAAGCTTGCTCAATCCCGTGTTTTATTTTCCCTATGGTTCAAAACTTTCCAGTCTATGCAGGATGCAGTGCTACCACTAAATGTGCTTATTTTTTTTAAGAAGTACTTGATGTTACACAATACCGCCAGTATACCAGCAATCACAACTTTGAACTCCGGGGTTCTGAGGGTTCTACAAAATAAAAGACAATACTATCTCACCTTCAGAATCTTTTTCCATGATGGGGGAAAAAGAATTCGATGAAGGGAGAGAGAGGTTTAAAAGAGAAAACACAGAAAGGCACGGTCACACATTCAAAACAGGTCAAACATTTACAATAACAAACTAGTCCCTTTCCTATCCCAATGCGGTAAGAACATTCCAATACTCTTCCTAAATCCTATCACGATATCAGCCTCAGTCTAATTGATTTGTATCCACCTATGCCCAATTTGTCCAGAAGTTGAGAAGAAGTGTTACATAACTCCTTAATGGTTTTGACACACTTAACTCAAGAAT